AGCATATGGAACAAATAAAGGTAAAAATTATACCGAGGAAGAAGATCGATTTCTCGTGTGTATGTTACACAAGCTTGGCTTTGACAAAGAGAACGTATATGAGGAGCTTCGTGCCACAGTCAGATCGGCGCCACAATTTCGTTTTGACTGGTTTGTGAAATCGCGCACAGCTTTAGAATTACAACGGCGATGCAATACATTGATCACATTGATCGAACGTGAAAATCAAGAATTGGAAGAACGAGAGAGACAAGAAAGGAGGAAAAAAGGTGGCAGTATTGGAGCAAAACCCGCGTCGAAACGGAAACAGGAAAATTTGCCGGCACCACAAGATAAACCACGAAAAAAGAAAAAATAAAAAGAAGAAATACGCTTCATTTAAAGAGCACGAACTTGACCTGTAATAATTTTTCCATCATTCATTCTTCTTCAAGATATTAACGATTTATCATCGTTTTAAATTCAAAGGGACCTGTAAAAGCCGCAACTTCGTTCTTTTTCATTCCCTACAATCTATATTTCAATATAATTTGACATGCTTTTTTTTTTTAATGATAAAAATCATGAAGAATCATCTTTAAAAGTCATGAAGAAAACTAGTTAACAATAGAACAATGTATCTAATATTAACAAACATAGGTTGACAGCAATATTCGAAATGGTTTTGCATGTGTAACCTTGGCAAGATAACTTTTTATATTTATACGTATCAAGTGATTTCAATTCACCTCATGAATGTTAAAGTCAAGTTATAGTTATTTGACATTGATGAAGAAAAGTGAGACTTTTTTTTATATATATATATACTTAATTATCACGAAAACGTTACACACACCACCATCTATGTATTACACAAAACCACATACGTACCTTGATTTAATTTTACACGAATAATTGTAATGCAATATTACGTGAACGATTTTATTTATTTGCTATGATTTTAGGCATTGTAATTCGTTTTAACGAATAAAATATATGCCGCATCATATAAACATTCAATGTGTTTGATCAATTATTAATTATTACCTTATTATATGAAAAAAACAAATTAAAAAATATTTGAAGATAGTGAATAATATAAGAAGAAAATTTCAATTGTGTTTATATATATATGATTATATTTATTAATTTTAGAATTCATAGCAATAAGGAAAAGAAAAATATAACTCAAATTACTTATTCCTAAATTAAATTTTATAGAAAATAAGAGTAAATAACATAGTATCCTAATTCTACATAAATTCATATATTTTAAATACCATTTTATTATGGATATTTTATGATAACAAAAAATTAATTATCGAAATCAAATCATACTAAGTTTTGTATTTGCAAGAAAACTTTAATCTTCATGAAAAATGTTTATTGCATTCTAGCAATAATATTTTTTCATATTTTTCATATTTATTCAATAGTATCTTATTGAAAATTTTTAATTTCATAATTACAATAAAAAAGAAATTTTTAATTACGAGAAATTATAATTTTAAGAATATTTTAATCAGTATACTAGTTATACATTTTTTTTTATAAATGCGTAATTAAACTATTGACTATATTTTATAGTTTACGTATAATTTTAAAAAACATTATTAAGAAATTATATTGTAAATTCATCGAAGTATTATAAAAAAAACATGAAAAATATGTCTTTTAATAAATAAAATGTCAAAAAAATATTTAAAATTAAAAATTAAATTTTTATTACTGTGTTATATTAACATTATAAAAAATAAATTTTTAATAAATATTGAAAGATAAAATAGAATAATTAATTAAATATTTCTTTCTTCTTTTTCTGGTTAAATTAATTTTTAGATTATAAGAGTTATTAATATCATCATGGGCTATTCTAATCTATTTTAATAATAGTTAATATAACAATTAACAGTTTTAATTGATACTGATTTTTAAGAATGAATTTCTCATTATTTTAGTATTAATAAAATAAAGTATCAAATTAAATATTTTAACAGATAACAAATATTTTACATAATATTATTTCACATTTATACTAAGATATGACTAATATCACTAATCTAAAAAGAAACAAATTAAAAATATTGTTAAATTACATCAAAGGATATACAGAAAAATTTGCAAGAAATTGAAGTGTGTCATTTTATGATAATTGCTTATCCTATTTTATTTTTTTTCAATTTACTTTGATTTTCTTTTTTTTTTTTTTATTTTTTAAATATTTTTTTAATGTATCGCTATTTTAATTTACTACACATACTTTCGGAAATGTTACAGCAATATCATTCTGTCTGAGATTAATCGGCAGTAGAGTACATTTAGTTTACAATAAATGTAATATATTCATCAATAATTACAATTATTAGAAATAATAATGTAATTTTCTATAATGTTATACATATAAATCACTTATGGCAAGGATTGGCCCAACTACAAGTTATTTTAATATATATAAAATTATCCATACAACTTAGATAAATTACATTTCGTATTTGGTTAGAAATAGAAAAAAATTATACAAAGAAAGAAAAATTAAGCGAAATAGGAAAGCATGTTATTTGAGATTATATATTTAAAAATAAAAAATATATTTTTTTTTAATTTTAAAAAAAGAAAAAAATAAAAAAATTATTAAATATTATAATTTTCATTTTGTAAAACTTGATAATCGTATGAAAAACAGAAGAAAACATAGAACAATATTTTATTTTTCTCATAATATTTGAGATATAACCCATACCAAAAACGAAATTTACTTTATATATACATATATTTGCATATGTATATTTCTTTTTCTTTTTATTAAATTTATATAATAATTAAGATAAAAATGTCTAAATAACTAATAATAATAATAATCTAATAAACTAATAAAAATAATAAAAAAGTTATATATTTGAAATAAATGAATGATAAAAATAATAAATAAAATTTAATGCATTACTGATTAGATAGCGTATCAATGGGCCTAATTAAAATATGAAAATATAAATTTATATTTCCGATTAACACATTTTTTATATTGACAATTAGCAGTTACGATACACGATCAAAATTTGATGTCTCTATAAATTCATTCTTAAACCTCATTCTTTAATATATATTATTGCAAGTGTATATCACTTGACTTTATTAATATTCTAAAGTTTGAATGATTATATCTGTCTACATTTTAAAGTTTGCAATAATGGCAATAACAATAGTAATACCAATAAATTACATAGCGCGATAAACAATTTTTTATCCCGCTTATGTATTTAATATAAATGTATATATATGTATATATAAATATATAATGTATAATATACATATATATAAATATATATACAATATATTTTTTGTACCTAATACGTATACTACAATTTATTATCTAAAATCTACAACTCGATTATAATTGCTCTGCGATGTCAAAGAATTTAGCATATACGCAGTTCATTTCCATTACAGAATTTGGATATTTTTCTTTTTACAATATTGTATTAAATTTTAAATGAATTTCGATTATATTATAGACAATAATTATAACTATGCATGCTTAGAAGTTATTTATTTGAAATTTTTAATTTTTCTTGAGTAAATGTGCACATAAAAATTCCTAAATTTTTTTATTATATATAATTTTATTTTAGTGCTTTTGCAAGAAACCAATTTTCTTGCACAGATATTGTTTCACTTATTTTATAATTCTTACGTACGTTTCATTACATACATAGTGATATAGAGAGATAGATAGAGATAGATTGAAAGAGAAAAAGAAAGAGATTTCACTCAATTTGAGTAATGTTTCGGAACAATCAACTAAATTAATCTTACTGTTAACATTATAAAATATACAAGCCTAGCCTATTTCAAAAAATATCAGCACATCGTAGACTTAATAATAATAGTTAATATAACAATAGTACGATATTCACTGGAAATATGAGACACACAACATGTTTAATAAATAAAATGTGCATATTATTTTAACAATAAAAAAAAAGTTTGCATTTGTTGAAAATGCAAAATAAAATTCGACATTGTATCGCAGAAATTGAGTTTTAAGTTTAATAATTGAGTTCACAGTGGTCACTTTTTATTCAATAAACAAAATCCTTGAATTATATAAATTTATATAAATTATATAACTTTCAAATTATTAAAAAAACGACAAAATATTAAAAAAATTTCTTTTTTCATTTACATTATATTTATTTATGATTTTGCTATTATATAAATTTTTTTGAATTAAAAATTTATTAATCATTACACTTAATAAAGAATAGAAAATGACCATCACACTCAATGAAGAGTAAAATGTTTCAAATAAATCACGTAAATTAATTATACATTAACAGGTACTTAAACTGTGATATATAATTATTATTATTATTATTATTATTATTATTATTATTAATATTAATATTATTAATGATATTAATATCAATAATAATAATAGCAATGGCGATGTCTCATTAGGG